TAATAATAATGCGAGTTTCTTTATCAATGGAAAGCAGAAGGATCTATTACATTAAAAACAAGTATTTACTATGTTTCAAAAATTATTTAATGTTTATTTTTAAATAATTTATAATACTGGTGTAATTAATATATTTATATTATATCTTCATTGACACACAGTAAAAACTAAAAAAATTTCAACCGTATATTTTATAGTAAGATTTTGAAAGAAAATAAAATGAATGACAAATCCGTTACTCTTGTTTTTATAAAAAAAAAAAATTAGCTGATACTTCAAAAAATATAAAATATTAAAATGTTGAACCTATGTAACTATGTTTGTGTCAATTTTTCATCTTAAAAGTATAGCTTTCTTTTTAAAAATTTATCCCGCACTTAATACGAACATGGGGAGTTTATAGAACAATTGCGAGTGCGATCATGCCGGACATGATCCTGTGTACGTTTAACATGCCATGACCAATTTCATGATGACGATTGTAAGAAGTGGTATCAATTAACTGTTGACACCGAAACTGGATAGCATTATATTTAAACAATAAATCTATTTTTTTTTATTTCATCCATATTATTTTTATTTTCAAAGGTTTATGATTGAAATATCCAACAATATTTTTAATTATAAACATACAAAATAATATTAACATTACATTAATGTACATAAAATAAACACAAGATCAAGCACGTATGGTTAAAATGAAACATAATTTAACAATCTTACACATTTTTAACACAACAAAATAAAATCAAGAATAAATTTTAAAATCACAACTGTTCTTTAACAAAAAAACTGAGTCATAGAAAAAAAAATTTCTAATATTTTTTTCTCTCGTAGACCAACACAAAACTCCAACAACATTCAATAAGCCAAAAAAATAATAAATAATGAAGACTCTCGATTTATTACGCCACTGCGATGGTGGTGCATTTAACGGTATAGCATGACGAAGTTTTGACGATGAAAGAGTAATTTTGAAAGGTTTAATTGTTAGAAAAAAAAAAAGAGATAATTTCTATGGTCAACTGTGAATTAAAATATGTTTTTGTCGGTCACACGTAAAATAATTATTTTTTAAAATTTATTTAAAAATATAAATCTTTTTATTTTTAAAATATTAACTGTTAATTTTAAAAATATATAAATTTTCTTTCAAGGTTACAAATATCGTAATAACTACAAAATAATTAGGTAACAAGAAGATGACAAATAGAAGAGAATGAAAGAAAAGATATATTATTTTGTCATAAAAAAGTTCATTAAATAACTCCCCAAAAAGAGAAAGGAAGCCCCCACATACAAGGAGCCCCTCCCCTTTATGCCAGTACTGTTGCTTTGCCATGGGCTAGTAGTGCTGCTGAAGAGAGGCGGTGTCTTCTGCTACCAAGAGAAGAACCTTACTTTGTTCTTGCTAAATTAATATAGGTAAAGAAATTTATTCGTGTTCTGAAAATATTGATATAGAATCATAAACTTTCAATCCTAGATTCTTTTCTGGCAGAAAAAAAAATGGAAACATTGCATGGTATAAAAGAAAAATAATCATTTGAAAACCCATTAAATTAATAAATGTTAAATTGATAGAGAAAGAAAAAAAAACATAATATATATATATGACAAATAATGTAATAAAAAGTTTAAAATATAATATGTATATATATATATATATATATATATATATATAATAGTTATATGAAAACGTTTACATTTTAATTTATTGGAAGCAGAAGACGATTCAAGACTCGTGATGGTGTTTAATTACTTCGACTTAAACATTACATGTTGCTCCAGGAAAAAAAAAAAAAAAAAAAAAACTATGCCATACAAATAAATTCAGGATTTCATCGTTCATCAACCAATGAAACCAATGAATATTAAAAGTTCTTGTTAAACATCGTAACATTTAATATATTAATAAAATTCAGTATTGTATTTAAGTAAAGCTTTAATTTTATTTTTTGCTTAATTAACAATTTCTGTTATTTGACCACTTCTAAAAAAAATATTTTATTTTATATTTATCTGTTCATTTAAAAATTTAAAATAATACCAATTATTTTATTTTAAATTATGTACTTATCTTTATGTAAGTCTTGAATACTTACCATAAATTAAAAAAATAAAATAATCAGTAAAATCAAACAATAGTTTAATTTCAATTTATAAATATGCGAATAATATTATGACTTATTTAATGATTTTTATATTTTTATATCACATTACATAATTTATCATATTTATTATCTTTTATTCTATTTTTCTATTTTCCATAATAGGTAGCACATAAATCTGTCCTGACAGTAGCCAGTGGCGTGTGAATTAATTGATATTAGACCAGAAAAATATTAGAATATCCAGACGTGCAGTGACTACGCCCCAAATGAAGGTCCAAATTGCGTGCATGCATAAATTCGGGAAAGAAAAACGATGCCGGTACTTCGTTCGGGACTCGCAGGATTTAATATTTATGCATAAAAATACATTTTCTTTTTGTATGTCTACTTTTTAAGAAGAAAAGTTTATTTCTATTTATTGAGAAAATAAAATAAAATAATTGTTATTGTAATTATATTTTAACTTTACGTGATTCTTAATATTTTACGTACTTATTATAAATGAAAATAATAAATACAGTATTAATTTAAAAATATAAATGAAAATATTAATTATTTTTAAAATTTCTGTACTATTATAATTAAAGTGAACAGAGCTTAAAAAATAGAATGAATACAACTTTATGACTTGGCATGTATCACATATTGTCGTTAATTTTATAAACAAAATCCCAACTAGGCTCCAATTGATCGTTACAAACAAAACCTAATATAAAAATTTTCTAATATCCACATGCGAAGTTTGTATATATATATATATATATATATAAATATTATCTTTTTATATCAGTGTAAGTTTTAAAAATTTATATCAAATCTGAACCTTTCGTTTAACTTACATTTAATGATTTATAATTACATTTTACTCACTCAAAGTTAATTGTTTTTTTACAAATATTATTTCCCATATCTAATTTATGCATCAAAGCCTTACACTTGTTTCTATTAAGGGAGAACAAAAAGGAAATAAAGACATTGTAATTAGGAAACGACTTTCTCCCTTTTTTTTTTTCTCTCGAAACGGATCATGTAAGAGTTTGACGTAAAAACTATACGTGGGATAACGAAACTGTTGTATGTTTGGACATAATCAATTCAACATCATTCCATCTTACTTTATTTGTGCATGTGTGCATTGCCCTTATCAAACTAATTCTCATGCTTTGAGTGATTTTATCGTGATGCTTTAGAGCATGAGTTAAATTAAACTCAGCAAAAGGTAACGTTTTATGCAATTCTTTTCAGCATGAATGGAGTATTGAACGATGGTTTTATAGCTAACTTTTGTTTTTGTTGTCCTCTCTCTCTCTCTCTCTCTCTCTCTCTCTTATATGGAAGCATGTGGCCAACAGAAGTGACTAGACTTGAGCTACAATTATAGATTTAACTCTTTTTCTTTTCCCTGTCTGGATGTTCCGCCAAAAAGCATATAACTCAGTCAACTTCAATTTTCTGTTGATCTTAATAAAATCATGAAGACTGCCCATGAAATCTTAGCAGAAGAATAACATTTTTTTATTTGACTTCCTCTATAAGGATGAATGGAGATCATAGGGTAGGAAACGATGCAATTTTATGTTAAATACTTTCCTATAAACATGATCAACGCTGGTAAAATGTATTAAAGATAGAGCTGGAAATTGGAGGGAGAATACGAAAAAGAAAAAGCATAGATGAAAGAGAAAGAGGCCGGTATGTCTCAATCAGCTGAAGGTGTTGTAGCACATGTTATGGGCCAGTTATTACAAAACTCGGGAAATTTTCTCCAGAGTTTCTGATTCTTCCTTATGCACTAAAACAAGCAGTCTATGAAAGTATCATTAGCCCTATCATATCGTATGTACCTTAACCTACATAATTGGGGGCAGTACACACTTATATGCATAAACATACATCACATGCACATACTTTTAGATGCATTAAACATTATGAGCCAAAGAAGACGACTTTTTCCAACTCAAGCATATGGAAGTCACATCCATGGATCATGGATGTCTATTCCAGTGGCTAAATTTTATCGTTTTCCAGAGAAGTAGTTGGTGTAAATGCTAGTTGTAGTTCTCCATTTATACGTAATATAATTATGCAGGATATCGATTGATCGAGGTGGAAAAAGGTATAGAAAGTGAGCCATCCAGTGTTTCGATCACTTCACGGCTAGTTGCCAATTGGCAATGCATGGGGGACAAAGAAAAGATGGACCATGAGTGGCCTGTTTCTCCCAATAAATCGCGCGGAGAGTTTCTTTTAAAAATAATATATCAAAATTATCATAAAGAGAAAAAAACAGCTTTTAAAATTCTATGCTAAACCAAACACGGAACCTATTTCGTTCTATTTATTTTGATCTGGCAAGCAAACGGATAAACGGGAAAAAGCGGCTTCGAGTTCAGCACCAGCCAGAAAGCTCACTCAACATTAACCCAGAAAAAGAAAAATACTATAAAGAAATCAAATCACCCAGCATAACAAAACTTAACATAATAATGCACACATATCCAAATGCTGTCTGTGTCAAGGAAAACACACCACAGCCCCACCCTCACAGCAAAATCGAAATGTAAGTGTTCTAGAATTGAAAAGTGAGAGTTTACCAATATTTAAAATCAAAATGACCATGAAAACCTGAATTGACATTCGGATAACACCAAACAAATATCCCCGGCCCCTTTAATTTCAAGTACTAGAATCAATGTCATAATCATTTTAAATTCTTAACTACTTTTCCTTCTAGCTAGCTAGCTACTTCAGCTTGTGTTAAGATGGATATACCGAGGAACTCCCACAATTAATAATTCTAACAAGAGTCAATTAATAACAAGGGGAAAAAAAAAAGAAAAAAAGAAGACTTAGTTTCAGTTATTATTGGAATAGCGAGATACGTCTTCAGGATCTTGGGGGTTGGAAGAATTGCGTACCAGCCATGAAAGCATTAAGCTGGGCGGGGTAAAGTGAAGGGTCAAAAGGGTTCCCACTGGGTGTGGTTGTGGTTGCAGCGGTTATGAGACCAAGTTGTTGTGGTTCAGCTCCACTGGAAGAACCCTCACCTGGTGCACTGGTGTAAGAACTTTCCGGTCCTTGATCGTAGAGAATTCCCTTGAAAACATGCCCTCCGATGTTTACAGCGGTTTGATACGCGCACTGTTCATCTGAAGTGTCCACTGCGCTCACTCTCACACACCGAAACACCGCCGAAGTGCTCACTTCCGGTGGGAATTGTCCTAGCTCCAACCCTAAGTAATAATCAAACAAGTTAATTAAATCAAGGAGTTTACTAACCAGTCAAAAACACTAAAGGACGTGCCCTCTATTTTTCCATTATTATTCCAAAAGAAAAAAGAAAAGGAACCAGTCTACTTAACCAACGTTTCACATGGACGAAACTAATAATTTCGTCAGTTTTACTGAAAAACAGTGATGGAATAAGGAAAAGAAAGACAAGGACAGAAAAAACAAGAACAAAACATGACGGGTGACAATGGAGCCGCGTTTCATTTTCATTTTTCAGGGTCAAATAATATGTGGAAAAGTTAGGTATAGTCATATATAGAAGACCACTCCACAACTCCTCAAAGATCTCGATCATTGCATCTTTCTCTAGCAATATCCTAGACTTTAAAAAGTTATACATGGTTGAAAATTAGAGATCATGGACCTATATATCAAGAAGGAGCCAGAATTCAATTAGTTTTGTTTATTTTTTTATATGAAGTTCTATATATTATTCTAAGATGGAATTAATTAATGTATTACTTTACCTGTGGGAGTGATGGGTGGCGGAGCGCAAGCTAGTTGAGTGTCTCTATGTCGTTTAGGATTATTGTCTCCGCGGAATTGTTGTTGTTGGTGGTGCTGCAACGCAGCGAGATGTTGCTGTCGTTCACGGCGTTTGGCTGCGGGGACCCAAGTGCTCTTGACGTGGGTTTGGCACAGAAACCCTCGGCTCTTACAGCAAGTTCTGCATCTGAGATGAGCACAGTCTTTCTTGGCTTGGTTCCCACAGTCTTGACAGTTCATGCCGCTTGTGCCTCCAGACCTCATCACACTCAATCCAAATCTCGTGGATTCATCAGACACACAGAAAGACACCTCTTCCTCGTTAACGTTGGAGCAATTCCTGCGACTAGGACCCACTCCAAACGCAAGGTAGTTGTTCAAGTTCTGGTGTGGGTGATTGGAGTGCGGCCATATCTCGAACCCCTTGTTGTAGATCTCTTCGTTCCTGAACAATAATAGGTTATTGCTGGCGCTGCTGTTGTGTTCTTTTTCTACTTGTTCCACCTTGTTTTGTGGACCTAGAGAGAAGAACCCAGCCATTTGTTGCACCCAAAAGCTGAGACGATTATCCCCGATTCAGAGGTAATATCCATAGCAGAACCTTCGCGAATCTTAAAATATTTTACTATAGATCGGGGCTACAGCTGTAAATTTTCGCGTCCGTTTGCAGACAGTAACACTAATAGGTTTGCTTAGTAATTTTGACCCAACCGATCCTTTTTTTGTCTTGTTCACTCTCACTGTGTTGTTGTTGAGTTGAGTTGAGTTGGTGGGGGCGTCTCAAATATGATCTTCTGGAATGGTTTAGTTTTTGCAGCTTTTGAGGAAACTGTTTCTCCACCAAAAAAAGAAATAAGTAAATTTAAAAAAAAAAAAACAAGAATAAAATGAGTAAAGAAGACAGAGTCGGTGTCGCTGATTTCCCTCAGTTCCCTCGAAGCAATTATGGCACGGAATTAGAGCCTCTGCTACGCCGCCATGGTAACTGCACCCATCTACTCTACTGTATATATATAAGTGTCATTTATGAATTACGGTACTTACACTCTCTCTCTTTCTCTATACCTCGGCTTTGTTAGTTGTTTAGACTTTAGAGTACTGTATCCTACACAAGAGTGGCTTTGTTGCCATGGAGTGTTGCTGAGACTGTTATCAGTGTTATGAAACGAGCGTGTGTTTGACAGAGAAAGAGTGCGTGGGGGAACATGAAAATCTATCACTCAGCATTTTTCTACAGTTCTCTTCCAGTTTCAATAAATCTCGGCCGGGATGGGTGAATCATATCTGTGCTTTGACCATCCGACGAACACCATTCTTCCACGTGTCACATTTTCTGCTTTTGCTTATTCGTCCTTCACCGGAAAACCCGGTGGTACTTTCTCTGACCCTCCCCGTAAATTAAGATTTTTTTTAATCAGATTTTTAACGTCTCTGAAGCAACCTTACCCATTGCGGAATACTAATACTGTGCATCACCCAACATGCATCTACGTCGCTCCTTTCACCACATACGTCTCCATCACCGCTCAAATCCTTCACCTCATCACAATCCGACGGCTCTCATAATTCTTGCCCAACCATCATCTGCAAACGAATTTATTCTTTCTACTGCTTTATTCAACCAAAATTTGGAGGGAACGAACAAAAAAATAAAATAAAATATAGCCATCATATTCTATGTAGCATTCAAAACATAATCATGCTCAAATCATTCTTTTAAGATTGTTTAAAAATAAATTAGTTTTATATTTTTAATTTAATAAAGATTTTGTGATTACATTTTAAATTTTCTTTTTGAATTAATAGTTTAAGATATCATAATTAACGTTGATTTTGAAACAAAAGAAGGTTAGTTTTGGGGGTAGGGTATTGTAATCTACCTAATGCGGGTATATTTAAATTGGTTTACCTGTTTTCCCGTCCTATGCCTCGTATTCCACCTCAAAATTCTTGGCATAATGATTATATGATTGACTCGCAATATGGCATAATAATATGTTAATCGCATTTTCATGGCGGAGAGGTCAACACCTGGGATGCAAAATTCGGCCAGACACAAGCCAGGAAATTAATACATCCCGTGTCGTCTACATGGAACTCGCACACGGGCCTCGCTAACAAGTGGGGTACGGGAAGCGTGTTGATTTTAAGCAATTAAAAAGGAGCAAATGCATTGAATTTTAGTATGCTTGGAGGATAGTTTATTATTATTTTTGATCTAGCTGCACCTTCGTTTGTTTCCTCTTTGGGTGTCTCGGTGTATTTACATGCATATGAGGTTCAAATTAAGATTCTACCAACTTCTGCCAAAATCGTATTAATTAATTTAATTACTTTCTTCAATTTTAGGCCTTCCATCGTGGAACATGCATCACACGAAACCTCAACAATAGTGAGACTATTTCGCATTTGATGACTGTTAGATGGAACGGTGGATAAAATATTTATTTCTTTGTTTCTTCCATCCGTCCCGACTTAGCAATTAACCTCGTTTTCCGATCTTATTCACATTTGTTATTTGCCATATAAAAAAAGTTTCACCGAGAAAATATCAGAATGGTTACATATGTACGGAGATTCAGGCTGTAATCATGTTTTAACGAGCAAAAAAAGTGAGTTTATGGTATTCATAACTTATGCTTAAACATATTCAAATGTGTTTAAGTCATTATTTAAGTTAGTAATCTTGAATTTATATATAGAAACACGCGTATAGGGGTTGCCAGGGATAATTAATTTAGTGATGGAAATGAATGTAGTATGGGATGTGTGGTTAGGCGCTCGGATATAAATTCGATTTATTACTTTGTTAACTTTCTACATTCTAAGCGTAAATGACATGCTTTTGACCATATTAAGGAATCCAATTAGTTCAAGTGAGCTAAATATAGGTTAATTCGACATGGTTCAATACTATAGTTACACACAAATGAACTACGATCCGTGCACACAGATGGGTTAGGATCAAGTAGCACGTGCCAAAAATCTGCTTATATTTATCATGCATCAATCTGTTATAGAAATAACTTTAACCATTGTGATCCTATATAAAAATATAATTTTGTTGGGAGAGATGAAATCAATTTTAACAATCATTACACTTAATATAAAGGGATTAGTTTTGGGTTATTTGTTGAAAAATATAATCGAGGTAAATCTAGGTAAAATTTTAGAAGTATATATATAAAGAGACATCTTTTGTATTTCACTTGGCTAATCGGTATATTTTGTTAAATAATTATAAATGTAGCATAAAAAGATTGTTTTCAAGTGTTGGGATGTTTTAAACTTACATAGGTGCCAGTCAATTAACGAATCTTAATGTAGGAGTTAAAATTTGTTGACTTGGCGTATAAATAATTTTAGTTTATACACATAATGCTTTCGAGTAGACAACGTTGTCAATATTCATGTTTACCGTTTTTTGTGTGAATTTGCTATCTCATGGACCTCGTGATTTTGAACCCATAGTCGTATGTGCTACAGCGTGCGTAACAAGTCATACAGACAGTTGATTTTTTGGATACATAGTACATAAGTACTGCACGAGAGACATAGAGAGAGGCGACAAAAGAGGTTTGGATGGTTTTTACAGTTTAAACAGCTTCAGACTCAGCAATATGTCATTCAAAAAAGGGAAAGACATTCATTCAAACTCGCTCGTTCAAAACACAAAATGAAAACAGTTAAGTATTGAGAATCAAGTTTCACCTCAAATAAAATTTGTTAAATTATTTCTCACAAGAACATCGTATAAAAATAGAATAGAAGAATCTAAAATTTCAAAGTCTAATATATAGTCTATCCATATCTTACAAAATCTCACTTATTAGAATACTTATTATATAAATTTTTTAAAAAATATATAATAAATGATGGAAATTTTAGCCGCAGACAAAGCCTTATTAGTTAGGTTAGAACGAAACTGAATTATAAAAAGTTTTATCAAGGTTGTTAGTTTGTCTTATTTTTAAAACAAGAAGTCTCCCTTCATTCCCTTCTTTTCCAGCGAAAAAAAAAATGGCGGCATTGGAAGAAAAAGGGTGGTGGAAGTAACAGGGTAACCCCCTAAGTATTGGCAGAAATATTAAGTAAACAATAATATTTCTAAAATTTTTCTTAATTATTGAAAAAAGAAAATATTAAAACAGTAATTTTTTACAGCTTGTATTTAATGCTTTTTTGATAAAATATTTAAAAATAGAAAAAAATTATAAATAATAGCAAGGGAGCGTTCAGCATGGATGTAAAATAAAATGTAAACACGTGAAGCGTCCCCAACGTAATGAATTGAATTTGAGAGAAATAACAGAGGTTAATAAGTAAACAATTGGCTCCAATAATATAACGAAATCAGGTAGCAAAGATAAGGACACGAGCTTAGACTGACTATACGCACTCTTTTGCAATCTAATCTAAGCTAATCTACCTCGGCATGCTTAAAAAATTTTATACCAATTAACCAATGGCATTTGCCATTGGTACTCTTCCATCATTCCAAAATATAAACTTTATATTCTAAATTATATTGTTATTTGGGGCCCGAGGAAGCAAATCATCTTCTTCCTCACTCACTCGATACTATTTTACTATAATTAGGCCGCTTCTTCTCCAACATAGCACATTCTCTCACTCTCAAGTATCTTCTTTGTCATGACTCACTCATTACATGTATAAAATTATTTGTTTTATCAAAGATTTAATATAATTATGAATATGTTAATATTAAACCATGTCACAATTTTATTAATAAAATATAATGTTTATTAATCCATATAATTTTAAATAACTTGGTCAGAGGCAGGGATACTTTTACCTTGTGCTGTTTTATAATTTGTTGGCTATAAATATGCAGTCTACCACTTAAATCAATTTTGATTAGACAAATAGGTGGGCGAAATTAAAATGATTCCCTCATGTCTCAATCTTTGATGGTACCTTTCTTTAAAACGAAGTCTGAAGGTGGTTAATGCCGACAACATTAAATTATGAAAATGAATCCTCAAAAAAAAAACCCGCAGGTTTAGTTAGAGATCCTAAGCACAAGTGATTAGACTTAATTAAGTTGAATGAATCATTGGTAATAAAGGTTTTACTGACTCATATAGTTGCTGACTAATCTAGTGGAGGCTTACAATAATTAGGAACTGTTGAGTAAGGTATATATTGCCCGTGCCATGATTGGAAACAGGAGAGCTAAAAGTATTGAGAAGACGTTACTTTGTTTTTCTTTTCTTTTCTTTCTCCGTCGCATACTCTTTCCCCTATCCGGTTCTCTATCATGATTGAATCGTAGACCAGTTTGAAAGCCGGTTCGGGCTGGCCCTAACAATTTTATTTACCTTGTTTAAACGCCCATCATTTTTCATTGGCCATTCCTTTTTTTCTACCCCTCATGTGTCCTGGATTGCAATATAAGTAATTCTTCCTTTAAGTTTTTTTAATTTTTAATTCTCGTTATTATAAATTAAATTTATTCTTATTTTGACACAGATAGTTAAATTACATCTTTGTTTAATTTAAAAAAATAGTGTCTTTTCTTAATTAATAAAATATAATAATTTTTTAAATTTATTTTAATATAAACTTTTCAGACGACAGTGAATAACCATTTCTGAGTCATTTTTCTTTGCAAATTTCAGTTTTATTATTAACCAATTCATAAACACTCAATTCTTGATTATTAAATCATTAAATGAAGTTTTAAATATCTTTATTGTTAAGTTTGAAACTTCACCAAAATTTCTATTTTATCTTTTACAATTCCATGGTTGATACAATAAATATTTAAAATTAATTGCTCGTGATGCTAAGAAACACAGAGAGAAAAATAATTCCTAAGATTTTTTTAATATTAAATGTGTAGAAATGTAGAACACAATCATTTATAAGGGGAGGGAGTTGTAATTTTAAAAACTAAACAAAATTAAAATATAACTTATCTTATTTTGAAATCATTAAAATAAATTAATTTAAAATATATATATTCTTTTAAAACATAATAGACGTGTTTTACTACTGAGACTTGGTTCAAGTAGTATATATTTTATTTTATTTTTTAAAACAAAGTTTCGAATTTGAAGCTTGTGTAGGGGAAAAAAATAGCTAAGAAGCTGGTCTCGTCATGATATAGATGGTCTCTCCTTGAGTTAATTTATGAAAAAAATCATAATTTAATAACAATTTTTTACATTTTTATGCTCACAAAATTGTACGTTTACCTTTACTTACAATGGAAACTCATAAAAATTAACAAGGAAAAATCATTAATATAAACAAGTATAGCTGAAACAAACCAAATCCAATCAAATATGTCAAATTGATGAGTAGATTTACAAACACCCAGTATTTAAATTTATAAATATTTTAAAATCCACCCCGATCTAATAAAATGGAGTCATTATTCTTGGGATTAAAGAAAATTTCTATTGCAAGTCTGGTTTTTAAACTGTACGACCCAGAAAGAAGCCTTCGCAATTTCCTCTTCAGTAATTGTAAATCTTCTAACTGGTTTTCAAGAAATTAAATATATTCATGCTTAATACTTTTAGTAAATTTAATAAAAAATTATAAAAGGATATAGATTACTTTGTCTTATTTCATTAAACCAGTTCCACTTGTATTGAATTAGAGAACGTGGGCTAAAATTAGAAAGGTAAATGAATTGAGTTGAAATGAACGTTTAATTATTTTTGTTAAACAAATATTCAAACTTGATTTATCAATTTAAACGGGTTGATATTAATGTTTAAAATTGTTTGAAAAATATGAAATTTAAACTTAAATAATTGATTATTACTGCGTTGTGGCATCACTTTGTAGATTTGCAAAAGGGGTGGAAGGGACACCTTTAGGAAGTTCATGTCCATGGATTGAAATTTGAGTTGATTGTGGAGCTTGGCAAAGCTGGATGATAAAATTGTTGAACTGGCCTGCGACTGGTTGGAATGTTAAATTGGTTGAGTCCGGTCAAAACCTTCGACTGAGCCTAGCTATCCCTAGCTTTTTAGATATCGAACTCCGTGATCATCCATCATTTGTTTCCTCTTATTTCTTAGCATAATAGGGTCATTCATGCTCTTGCTCATGGACCACCTCATGCCCTCCATGTATTCTACACTGCCGTCCGACCAGACACAAACCCTCCTTCGCAAATTTCTTCTCTAATTCTGGAATCCTGTATTTTGGCTGTTTATTTAATTTATAAATGTTTTTTTGTTTGAAAATATATTGAATATGAATTTATTTGAATTAAATAGTTGTATTGAGTTTTTTATGAGGTTATTTTTTATATATTATTAGTTTAATTATGTATATTATTAATTAATTTAAAATAAGTAAGATATATTTTTTTAAGTAATTATTATGCAAGTCAACAATGTTTCATTATGTGACACTAGGTAAAAATGAATTTTGTTTATACTCTCGTCATATTTCGTAATTATTTATTTAGATATTTAAAAATAAAAATAAAAAAAATATATAAAATGACCATAGACTATTTGACGTGTGTATCATAAATGTTAAAAAATAAAAAAATTTCATGTTATGATCCCATAACAATTTAAAAAGAAAAACACACACATACAAGGTGACACAATTGACACGTGTTTTTTTTTTTTTTTTTTCATTTTCTAAACAATTGCGACAAAACTGAAATAAAGTCTGTGAACCATTTATGAACACTTTAATAGTTAATTGAGAGTTTGCGACAAAGGCCAAAAGAAAAAAAATACGAGAAGAGGACGAGGCTACAAAAAAAAAAAAACGTTTGTTTTATTGCAAAGCTGCGATGGTGCTTCCCGAAAAGGAAAAAGCACCCTGGACCCAATTGATCTCAGCCGAAAATGGAGACGATCTTTTTGAAACAGGTCTTAAAGAAGAATCATGGTTGCGTGGACCAAACAAGAAGAAAAGAAAATCGTTGGCAGTAGGGGAAGAAACCTGCAATAACCAAATTATGGGGATAGAAAGAGTTATTAATTCCTGTGGGTACACTTTGTTGTTTCCTCTAATTTTTTAGTTTAGAGTACGTTTGGAAGAGTTTACAAGGAACTTATAAAAATGGTTTAAATTTTAATAATAACTTTTTAAGTCATTTTAATCATTTTTTACATGATTTATTAAAATATTTTATAGTAATGTTTGGAAACTGAATGGAAGCATTTCCTTTCCAATGCTTTGAACAAAGGCCCGCATTGAAAAAGGCATGCTGACTCTCCCAAGTACAAGCCGAACCGAATGACTTTCTCTTCTTCTTCGTTTTTGTTTCCTAACATTTCACCTGTTCTAATGGTCCATGCAATGTTGCCAGTGTCCAATTGACAACAATTAAAAAAACTAAACTAAAAAAAAAACAAATGAGTACTAACAAAGTAATACGTGTATGAGTATAACAGTGCAAATCACTTTACCATAATAGAATTACCAAAAAAAGAAACTGCAAACATTAATAAAGCAATACGTGTAACTAGGTACATATTTATTAAAATTAAGTCACAATAGTAAAAGATAATTTATCCGAAAATTAACAGTGTAAAAACATGCAAGCTATAAAGTTTGACGTAACATTGATAAAAGTCTAATTTGACATGGCTGGCTGGCAATGTTGTAATTATTTAAGGATAAGGATGAGGATGGGTCTAATTTGGGGAGGCTCGTGGGTGCAATGATGGCTCGCTGATAATTTTTATATTCAGACCAAAATAAGTTTCACTTTATGAACATAAGTAGCCTCTCAGCCAATAAATGGTCATAATGTCTCGTTCAAGGTAACACAACCAAATCAACAGATCCATAGCTTCCGCCATACAATCTTTTCTCTCTTTTTTTTTCCTTCTTTTCCAGTTAAAATACTAGAAGAGCTTTATCTTCCTTTTATTCCATTAATTATTAATGCTCACGTGCCTCGTGACCCCAGCAAGAAGCCAAGAACCGATACCCTGTGCGTACTACAACAAATTATATTTTATTGGCTCAAACATTTTTTAATTTCAGGTCAAATAATTTAAGTAGACGTGGAATGGGAAAAAAAAGCTCGAAATCCTTTTGGGCCTTAGATCTCAAATTTTTAGAGGCCCGGGTTAACAATTTGGTCCTATGTTCACAACAGATCTATGGGCTGATAAATTTATTTAAACTTCGAAATCTGAAAATGGATCCAACAGTATGCAAAATTTTCGGCAAAAACACTTTCCAGTCACTACAGTCTACAGATCAGAGGTTGGGAATTTTATATAAAGTCATGCATTCAAATATAATGTCAAAATTGTGCCCCAAAAAAAAAAAACATTTCATGTTTACCAAAAATAAAGTAAATGTAGACTATATCCCTAACCCGTACGTTAATTGTCACCAAGAATCAGGGAACAATTCCTATCCCTATTTCCCCTCCTTTTTGTGTGGGTCGTTGAACAAATATCCCTAATCCCGGTGTCCCCACCAAGCCGATTTGGGCCTAACAAGTTAAATATATGTCCAATATTCGATGATTGGGCTACTTAATGCTGTCTCCTAGTTTGACCAAAAAAAAATTCTTGTTCTGATCTGAATATCCAAATCGAGCATGAGCAAGTAAACAAAAAAAAAAAAATCCCAAATCGAGAACACATCTTAATTATATTCGAGTGAATCACAATAAATTAATTGATTACTATCATGTTTTTATTTTGTCTTCATAACTTTCCAAAGTTCAAATAATTTAATTTTTTTTATTGTATTTCTATGAGTGAATAAACTATACCCATTGAAATTATTCTATATTATTTTAAAATAATGTTAGAATATTATAATTATTTGTTTATTTCTTATGCTTTATCTTTATTCTTCTTAAACTGTATTTAAATAATGTGTGCAGTAGAGGACGAAGTATTGAAAATAGAGGAATAAAATTACAGTAGATTAAATATATTAATTGCTCGAATACAACTTGCGAAAGCAACCAAACAGAACCAGATCTCGCTCCGGTTCAATTTTTGTTTTTTTCAAATACCTTTTATAATTTTTTTAATACGCCAACTTGTCCAACCTCTCTCTCGCTCATGCTTACCCTTCCCCTATAAAACCCCTGCATGTGGACTAAGAAAAAACGCGCACATTAAAAACCTCTTCTTGAACAAGTTCGATATACTTAATTGGCATGGCGTCGAGATCCGAGATTGAGCTTGTTGTAGACAGAACCACCTCCACCATCATTAGTCACAACAACCGTTTCAATAATCGCGAATCAGCCTCGTTAGTGGTCGCAAAGTGCTCATTAATGTCCCTAAATTCCATACTAACAAAATTTCATGCAGGTTATTTCAGAATAAGTCTCTCCCTAGGTGGCCAAGCTTTATTGTGGAAAACACTAATGGAACCAACGGATGACACAAGCGCTCTTCGACGCGTGTTTCGCACGCTTCCCGCCACAGTTTTCCTAGTACTATGGTCTCTCGCACTATTTATTCTCGTTTCACTGTCTCTTCTTTACCTCTTAAGGTGCTTGCTTTTCTTTAAGATGGTAAAAGCCGAGTTTTTGCACCATGTAGGGGTTAACTATCTCTTCGCTCCTTGGATTTCTTGGCTTCTATTGCTTCAATCGGCACCATTCGTGGCTCCAAAAACCGCCACGTATTTGGTTCTCTGGTGGATATTTGCGGTGCCGGTGGTAGTGCTGGACGTGAAAATTTATGGGCAATGGCTCACGAAAGGGAAGAGGTTTTTATCGAGTGTGGCGAACCCCACGAGCCAGATGTCGGTGATAGGGAACTTGGTAGGGGCACAAGCTGCGGCTCAAATGGGTTGGAAAGAGAGTGCTGTTTGTTTGTTTTCATTGGGAATGGTGCATTACTTGGTGTTGTTTGTGACGCTTTATCAGCGGTTATCGGGTGGAGATGGCCTTCCAGTGTTGTTGAGGCCAGTTTTCTTCTTGTTCTTTGCTGCACCCAGCGTAGCTAGCATGGCTTGGGAATCCATTGTTGGAACCTTTGATACCACTTCCAAAATGCTCTTCTTTCTATCTTTGTTCCTCTTTGCGTCACTGGTAAGTCCTCTCTCTTTGCACTGGTTTGTTTAAACATGACGCAAGAGTTGTGATCTATATTATTTTTAGAACGATTTTATTTTAACACCCAAAACACGTCTCCACTCCAAACAATTAATGCATTTGGATATTAAAATATATATTTTTAAATTATTTTATATTTTTCTTTACTATATTAGGATTATTTAAATAGTTTTATACATAAAATAATTAAAAAATTATTATAACATTCCAATATATTGAGTGTATGGTGTTAAAACCCATTTTGGGTGTTAAATATCATTGTTCTTATTTTAAATTATAATTAGCATTTCATGACAAATAATTAATTTATAAAATGTTTAATTTTACAAGTTACGAAATAAAGAAAGGGATAAAAGGAAAAAATTGTATTTTATTATTTAGATAAATAAAATGCAGGAAGAAATGGTGAGGTATCACTTGCGATTAAGAAAAACCTCCTTCAAAGAGACGTGGAAGGGGAGCTCGGATGTGGCTTTATTTTTTCCTTATTTTTTTAGTTTTGATTGCTTGAATACTTTTATTTTTGGTAAATTACTTAAAGATAAGAATGATTTTTTAATTAATGTATTTTTATATCATTTATTTATATTTATATTTCTTTTTTATTTAAATAAGTAGACGGAAATCTTTCCACGTCTTAATTTTTATTCTCATTTATCCAAAATATTTTTTACTCGATCTGTATTATTCTTTTTTTTTTCCGCTGTTTTATTTCTAAATCCACTTAGTATAATATTAACAAAATGAAATGTCAATTTGGATTAATAATAATGATGATGATGCATTTATACAGTTTGGTATATATCAACTTACATTGAATTTATGATTTAATTGATTGCTAAAAAGGTAAAATATTTATTAATTTTTTATTTTATTATTTTAAAAATGGTCAGTGTAGGAATAACGTTGTAAATTTTTAATATGCAAATATTAATACTCTAATTTATTTGACATTAATTATGTGATTGGCCTTGTCAAAGACAGTTGCATTCGAATGAAACAAACATTACAAATGTTTAATAAAAAATAAATAAATTATATGATAAAAACATTCGAACGTATAAAATTACTTTTGTTAAAACCTATTGAAAACATCTAAAAGTGTTTTTTTAGAAAGAGATATTATTATATTTTTAATGTAATAAGTATTTTTAATAAAAATTATCACTATTAATTATTTAAAATAATAATTTTCAAATTTAATAAATATCTCGAGCAAATATATCTTCAATACGCCCATTTTTCTAATAGCACGAGATTATTAAGCCTGGAGCAGTTTACCTACAGTTAAGAAAATGACTTAGTCCTGGAAGTTTATTTCATAGTAATTAGTAAGTCAAGTTCGTATATTTTATCAGACTATAATTTAAACTGTCGTTGCTTTCATGCATACAATAGTCTCCCTAAAATGGATTACATGTTTAGTTGTTAATATATTAAACTAAATGTCATATTTATATTTTTAACATAATACATAAATTTTTTAAAAAAATATTTTAAAATACTTTAATTCATCTTTAAAAATTAAGACTAATAAAATCATTGAATTAATGGTTGTCGTTTGTATTTATACTCGTGTGTGGTGGGGGGATTTTTCTCTCGAATCTCTTAGACCACAATCAAGTAATGACAAAGAATACAGCTGGACATTTACTGGTAGAAAAATTCATTTATTAAATGCCAAATAAAAATAAGCACATTTACTTGTAGCCAGCTTTTTTATACGAAACAGGTTATACTCATGGTCAACATTTATGATCAATTTCAAATTTCAACAGCTGAATAGATTCCGGGGAAACACATCTACTAGTACAGTAGCCCTTGCTTAATCAAAACGTTAACATTTGTGGAGATATTCAAAATAAAAGCATTATATTTTAAAAAAATTAATATAGTCAATGTTAAGTTTTTAAAACAATTTATATTTATTTACACTTTTTGTACCACGTATCACGCCATATTCAAGTGAAAAAGTAATACTGATTCATCAAAACACATTTGTAAACAAATAGTTTGATGCTAGCTCTAATATCACTTAGTAATTAATTATCTATCTATGTTGAACAGGTTTGCAGGCCAGCACTGTTCAAGAGATCTATGAGAAGGTTCAACGTTGCTTGGTGGGCTTATTCCTTTCCAGTCACAGTGCTTGCTATGGCTTCCACAGACTATGCACAAGAAGTCAAAGGAACTATTTCGCACGTCCTTATGCTCCTCCTGTTATCTCTTTCCGTTCTTGTTTCCCTTGCTCTATCGTTGTTCACTTTGTTCAACTCTAGGATGCTTCTACCGGATAACGATCCTATTGCAAACTTGCTCATTGGTTAATTTATCTACCAACACCACAATGACCGAAGCCTTCATTTAAATATAAATTATCACTAGCACGTAATAATAACCACAGATAATTAGGTGCATGTTTGTCTATATCTATATTATCCACGTACAATCAAAAGTTCCATTACTATATCGATATCAATTAAAATAACTTTGATATTAATGTATGTTGTACAAAAGTGAACCGTAGTAAGATAATAATATTCAGCGATGACTCCGTAGTTTGATTGTTTTGTTATTTTGTGTTGGAACAAACAAGAATGGTCAACAAATTTCTTTTTAGAACTTAAATTCGAGACTAAAAATCAAACTAAATCAATTCTACACTGTTTTATCCATTTGCTCTGTAAGTTTCCACTTGTATATTTGCTTAATAATTATATGAATAGTTAGTTTAAAATTAATAATCTGTAGTTTTTTAGAACAGGACATAAATATATATTACTCGTATCCATCCAGACACCAATGAAACCCGATAGGCTATTTGTGAAAGGAATCACGGTGTCCAGTTTATTTGAAATCAAGTTTCAGCTCCCCAGTCACAACTAATCGATATTTTGGCACCGCAAATCCTTTGTGACAATAAAACATGGGGTTATTAATCAAGTTGCAGTTGTGCGATAGCGACAAGCGTCGTTCAGAGCGCCTCCTAGTTGGTGGTTACCACTTACTGGTTTGTGAAACAAGCCTATGACAATGACTACAGTACTATGGTCAACGCTGGTTTGCACGGAAGTAGAAATATTATATATATATATATAAGGAACGACTGAGATGATTTATAAATTTATAACAAAATTACTTATTCATAAAATTTTTACTATGAAGATATTTAAATTTTTTTCTCCAAGCTGTTCTTATTTTTTGCCATTAAAAATAGGTTTTAATTTTTTTTTTTTAAATTTCAATTGAAAACATTTTTTTATTAAATAAGACTTTTTGTTTTTGTATTTTTTTAAGTAATTGAATTAGCCTTACTTTTATTTTAATATCTTATCTAATATCTAACACAATTATACTCATTGAAACTTAAATTATATTGAAGACAGTATAATTTTAAAAAATCAAATTATAAATACAAAGATCCCATATAGCCATGAAACATACAAATACAATTAAGTTGTTTTGATCAGTTTTAACTTGTATCATAATAAGACACACGCAAGGCCGAGGAGGAAGCGAATTTGCACAAGGAATCCTCTTGACAACGGTGTTAGCTAAATATATAGACAACTAAGTTCATGAATCGTCCAGTTGGCGAAGTCTCTTATGTCTGTTTTGCAATAAAGTATGGCTTTACCTAATTCGTTAACTCGAATTTAGATGAGAATATCTTTTTCATATCTAATTTCCTTCATTAATCGGATCAAGCAACTATCAGTAGGTCATTAGTTTATAAGCTTAAACAGACGAAAACGGTTATAGCAATTGAGGTTGCATAAGCTCAAAAATAAAATAGTATTGTTCTAGTCAAGTACTGACCATTTTTATTAAACCTGAAAAAGGAAGCAAATTGTTGAGATAAGAAATAAATAATTAATTAAATACGGCAAAGGATGCATGCTATTTGATTATTCTTGTGAAATGATGGGCAAATCACGGAGCATCGTCGAATTATTCCTTCTGGAGTAAAAATACAGCTAAAAATCTAAACAAAATTAGGAATGTCAAAATCAAATGGATTAGGTAGAGGTGTATATGACTTTTAAGTTTTAATTCAAGAACAGATAAACTTGGTTTTTTCTTTTGTTTTCTTAGAAGCTAGACAAGATGAGCGACGAACGCTCAAACTGTGTCTGCTGATATAAAGTCCAAAGAAAGCAAAGATAAAACATTAAACAACATTGACAATATATATCTTTTTAAAATATCAACGAGTGAATAAAGTAATGTGATATTAAAGAATTAGAAGCGTGGAATCATAAAGTAAGCGGTATCAACATATATATCCGGTTTCAAAATATATATATCAGATTAGAAAGAGAACACTTGACTTTAAATTTTGAAACATATGTCACAGAAAATATTCTTCGCTAAGATATTTCACTCTCCACCAGATAGTGGCTACAAGATTGAAGATTGATCCCAAAAATACATAAATTGGAGTCAAATGCACGTGTAAACCCTCAACGCATAGTATTCATCATGGCCCAAGTAAATGTATATAACATGGTGGATATATTATTAGAGATAGAAATAAGTCAATGTTGCTTATTGAGAGTTGATGACTTGAACTATATCACCATTTTAGTCAAGTTAAATTTATTTGCTAAATAAGTGTTTCTGGATGATTCTTCTGAGACTCAATATTCATAAATTTAATGAGGTTATGTATATATTGAAATTTTTTAAAAAAAATCTCAATTTTTTATTATAAAATAAATAAAGCACTTATGATAAACTCTTTGGAAAAGTTGATTGAGTGTGCCTTTCCCCGTGTGATTTCAGAGATGCTCATCACTTTCTTTTGAAGGTTTGAAACATAGTTTAGTAACTATCTTTAGTCTTTTGATCAAATTAATTTTGTTTTAAAGTTGATAGCTTCACATGATCAAATGATTAGACTACTTGCTTTAGCAAATAATTTTAGCATTTTAGGTCATGCTGAAAAAGGAGCGAATTCTAAACAATTAGATCGTATGTTTCATTTTGGTATAAAATTAGAGTAGTAAGTAAAAGTGAGAAAAAACAAAGTGTATCTTTAAGTCTTTAGAGCAAATCAAAGAGTCACACGGATTTCAGAATAAATTGGTTAGAAATAAGCTAATTTGAGAGTGTATCATATAGCTATTGTGTTAAGTAATCTTAATGTAATACAAGTACTAAGAGTGTCCATAATTATTGTTTATCGTAAAAAAAAACGTCTTTAAAGTATAAAGACTTCAAACTTACATAATTTATTTAATTATTAAGTTTTTTTCTACCATGCATTGGCTTACCAAGGCATCATGGGTTTATTGAACATCATGTTAAATTTTATTTTACAAAAACAAAAATGAATCTTGAAAAAACCTACGTTAAATAAAGAAAATAGGCTAAAAACTTTTATTTAAGAAGTAAATAATTAGTGGGCATAGGATATATTAGATGCCTTCCTAGCTTGGGTGACGAGCGAAAACCCAATTACAAACTGCTTCTTTGACCAAAAATCAATAATACAATGAAACAAATTGCTTCCTCTCTCAATTCCGTAGGACCTGGTAGGTTCTGATTGTTTAAGCACTATACTATATACTTGACAAAAAAAAAACTCTATACCATTGATGGACCCAAAAAAAAACAAACAAACAAAGCCTTCTAGCATATAGCTTGATTGGTTGTGTTTCTACAAATGAACAAAGCATATTTGATGAGTGTCTTATTTCAGGTAAGCAAAACATATTTGTTTTGATATTTTAATTTTTATTAATAATTATAAAAACATCATTTTTCTTCTTTTTTTCAAACATACACAAAGAAATCGAGAAAGCACTTTATTTATTTTGTTTTTTACAGTTTCCTCTAGACACACTCATGAATTAGTTGAGTAGAAATTAATTTATCATGACAAATGTAAGTGTTGTTTAAAGCAATGACATACACGTCAAAAATATATAAGTAGTGTAATGATTTATATTAATTTGTTAATTTCATAAGTGTCCTTGTCAATTTCACAAGCGACATACTAGGTTTCTTAATTTAATTTTTTATTTTAATAATCTATCATCTGATTTTATGATAATTGTGTAAAATAAGTAAAAATAGAATAAAATTAAGAATCTTTATATTAATTTAGTATTATCTTCAATATTTTAAAACAACAGGTAAACAAAAAATAGTTTTTAAAACATTAATTGAAAAGGGAATGAAAGTAGAAATAAGATAGCAGACGAACACCTTAAAATCTGCTATTAAGGCGTTCCTGAGGTGTTCGAAATGACGACACTATGGACCTCAACAACGTTAACTTTTTTCCAATTCAGTGGGATGTGACTGTGACAAACCAAAGCTTTTTGATGTTTGAACTTTGAACATCTGTTCTACTTTCATTTACAGCCTAAACCTAGCTACTATATATAACTGCACATATTATCATATACAGAGCAATCTGTAACCCCAAGGATATTATATTGAGTTCAATGGAATGAGTGATAGAGTTTGTTTGCTTTATGGTAGGAGCCTGTCGCCTGTCAAATGGGATTTGGACTGAAGAAAATTGTTTTCCTTCGCAAAATTATTCCTCCATCGGGAAGCTTTTTTTGCTGTGAAGAAATCTATCCCAAATAAATATTGGTTGTCTACGTAAGGGCAATATTTTTGCCATCGATGACGTTTACGCTTAATTGATAATGAATTTATATTTATTCAGTATTGTTAATTTAAATTTTATATTTATATAATTTTTAATATGAATTCAAACACACGCCATATTATGTAAAAAATATTTTTTTTAAAAAATAAGACAGACAATTATTTTAATTAAGGTGTGTATGAATTATAAATGGTAAAAAAAAATTGGACCTTTTATATTTTTTATATAAACAAAATTATAAATTGACACAATTATTTTTCATTGAATTCAATCTTTCTTATTATTTAATATAGTTATATTTACTAAAATTTGAACTCAAAATTATGAATTAAAAATTAATACAACTATCTAAAAATATTCTTGAAATTTTTTAACATGCAACTTGAATAAATAACCTTCTTGATCTCAACAAAAGCATTATTCCCTTATATTAAAATTACCAAACGCCTTGTTTGTGAACAAAGTTGAGACTCTCCAAATTATAATTTGAGGTGGGCAAACTACAATCCGTAGGTCAACGTGACAAACAACAGATATTCTATAGCTAAGGGGAAAAAAAGATATTGGAAGGAAATAAATAAGTGTGATGTAGTATATAGTAAGCAGCAGTTTTTAAAATATATAGAAACATGAAAATGGAGTTAAGAATTTATCCAGTGGCTGGCTGATAAAGAATAAAGGAAGCAGTGCATGATGCAAT